TGAGATCCTGTCGAGGTTCGTGGGTAACGCTATTAGAAGACATACGTACCTTTCACTGTGTTGTTTGACCAACCTATACTTCAGAGACTCAGGGATTCACTTGCTACCAGGAATGGAACAATCTCGCCGTTAACTTAGAATATGCAGATGATATAGTCCTCCCTGGTAGGCGAGAACGCTGACAAAATGCAGACACGGTCTTCTGAACACCTTGAGTTGCAATCTACGAATTTCCGGAATCCGATTCGTTCGTGCTACTGTCAAATGTAAGATGATGTTACAGGACTGACTGACTGGACTACACTGGCTTCTAGTTTAGAAATAAGGAGTGAAGTGGATGGTGGAGCACGTTGACTGACCGCTTCACTTTTTTGGGAAGTACCATCATCAGCCAGTGCCAACGGGTTGATTTCTGACGAAATTTCAGCTGAGTACGGATACAGAGTGCTAGTTTCGCATATGCCCGCCAGTTTAGGCCGTCTCTGGCTTAGTAGACGTGATATCCGGCTGGCTGGCTGGCTGTCGACCAAAGGGCGGGTGTACTGCTCCTCAGCAGTCCGCTCTGTCCTCCTTTATGGCTGGCTGTGAGACCTGGCCATTGAGAGTGGAAGACATGAAAAGACTGGCTAGCTTTCTTCGATCGTAGGTGCCTGAGTTCTGTCTCCCGTGTGAAGTGGTATAATAAGGTGAGCAATATTGAGGTTAGGTGTCGGTCGAGTGCTAGGTAGGTAGGAGGGGAAATCAATCGACGAGGGTGTGAAGCAGTTACACTGATTGAGATGGTTAGGACATGTGTTATGTATGCCTAGTCATCGCCTTCCTCGACAATGAGCAATGTTAGCTGACATAGGATGGGTCAAACTGGAAAGCAGCTAACGGCGGTCAAACCAAAACATGGCACCAGTCAATATTGCTCACCTTATTATACCACTTCACACGGGAGACAGAACTCAGGCACCTACGATCGAAGAAAGCTAGCCAGTCTTTTCATGTCTTCCACTCTCAATGGCCAGGTCTCACAGCCAGCCATAAAGGAGGACAGAGCGGACTGCTGAGGAGCAGTACACCCGCCCTTTGGTCGACAGCCAGCCAGCCAGCCGGATATCACGTCTACTAAGCCAGAGACGGCCTAAACTGGCGGGCATATGCGAAACTAGCACTCTGTATCCGTACTCAGCTGAAATTTCGTCAGAAATCAACCCGTTGGCACTGGCTGATGATGGTACTTCCCAAAAAAGTGAAGCGGTCAGTCAACGTGCTCCACCATCCACTTCACTCCTTATTTCTAAACTAGAAGTCAGTGTAGTCCAGTCAGTCAGTCCTGTAACATCATCTTACATTTGACAGTAGCACGAACGAATCGGATTCCGGAAATTCGTAGATTGCAACTCAAGGTGTTCAGAAGACCGTGTCTGCATTTTGTCAGCGTTCTCGCCTACCAGGGAGGACTATATCATCTGCATATTCTAAGTTAACGGCGAGATTGTTCCATTCCTGGTAGCAAGTGAATCCCTGAGTCTCTGAAGTGAGTTAGGGTGAAATCCATTACTACATCTATGTTGAAATTGAACAGTAATGGGGATAATGGGCATCCCTGACAGACACCACTAGTGGTCACCACTTCAGATGACAACTCGCCGTAAGCCCTCACCTGGCTGACTGCATGAGTTCCAGTAGAGTGGGTTGATCAGTGCTACGCATTTCGTCGGTATTCCATTTACAGCCAGCAAGCATCGCCAGAAAACCTCTAGTTCGACAGAATCGAATTCCGCCTTAAGGTCAAGAAATATAACGATTGTTGGACGCCGGTAAGAATGCCTATGTTCTAGAATCTTTTGAAGAGTGGTCTAAAGGCTGCCTGGTTCTCTCGTGTTTGGGCCTCTGTTTCAGGTACCCGAAGACTCAAGCAACCTCCACGGTGTGGGCAGCCGGGGAGTAACATCCGCCCACACACTTCCAAAAGCACACGAAGGTTTCGGGGTATTTTTATGTTGTAGTGGTCATCTCGCTGCATTAATTTATTATACATGCAAATTGTATTCGTAGGTCACTTTATAGCTAAAGTCATTGTTAAATATATTAGTTGCTTAGTTAGGCAGTGTCTTAGATAAAAACGTTACGTAATATTGTGTGTGAATTTGATAGCAAAGAATTTAACATTGTAAAAAGAAGAATTGATTTAGAATGATAAGTGGAACAAGTGAAATAATACCGGGGACAGTTCAAAGTGAGAGTAGTAATAGTAGTAACAATTGACATTGTAATAAAGGAAGAGAATACAAATTGAATAGATAAAATGGGAAATTGGTAGAGCCAAAATATGATTAGGGATTAGCATACTTTAGCATAGAGGGATTAAGACCATGAAAGTTGGAGGGTAGAGGGATTGAACGAACTTTTTTTCTGTACACAGAGATCTGGCTTTTCTGTTTCGATAGCCAAAGATGGCTTCAGCAAATACAGATGAGTCGGGTACGTAGGGATTTGGGTAAATTACTCTTTGCCTTGTAGATGAAGGCGGAGGCTATAGAGATAGGGTGTTCATTATCTCAAGGAGATGTTCAATGATCTTGCTTCTTATTGCTCCACTTCCACCTCTTCGTAACTACCATGCAGGATAGTGTTCTTGCATCCTCTTGGACAAAACTCGAGTCGAACGACCGATATACCTAGCTCCACATGAGCAGGTGAATTGATAAACACACACAGAGTTGGTCAACAGCGGGATCTTGTCCTTGTTCAGGTTATTGAGCAGCATAATAGTCGACTAGTAAAGGCTATATATTCTCGGAGATGCAGCAGGGAATGTTCTTTTCAGGGACTGTGTGATATCCTTCGTTTCATGATGATATCGGAAGCTAAGAGTCCCCTTTGAATTCCAAACTCATTTAAAGTTGATAAATAACACTAACCTTGTTATCTCTTTTCATGTTTTCAGTAACACCTAATCGATATAGCGAAAATATTTATTCAGACATCTATAAAACACAAAATATAATTAAGCCAGCAAAGAATATCCCCCTTTCGATAAATTCCTCCTCTTCTCGCTCTACAATTAAATCTATCTATATATGCATATTTATATACATAGAATATTCTAGATTAGTAGTCAATAACAATATTAGTTTGCTTTTTAAATAATATCGATTTGTAAAGTAAGATCACAATGGAATTACCACAGTTCATTAAAGATGCTTAAATTATAATAATAATAATAATAGTAATAGTAATGGTAATGGTAATAGTAATAGTAACAGTAATGGTAATAGTAATAGTAAAGATATAGCAGCAAATAGAATATCAACTAAAATATGGAAAATTCCACAAAAATTCAGCATCATTCAAACCTAGATGGCCAAGAGTGTGGGAATAATGTATAAACCAACCAACTTCTTTTGGGTGCACAGATTAATCTGGCTCCCAACGACCAGCCAGCCTCAGCAATATTTAGTAGTCGAACTCTTAAGGCGAAATTGAGATTTGTTGTTGGTATGCGGTAAAGGACCCTGAAAGCCTCTTCGTTAACATCAATCAGTCTTGTGATGTGTATCCACAAGATGATGAGTGAGATAGAATATAATAGCGCTGTGGATAGATTTTGTTTGTCCTTTATTTAACCAATCAACCAACCACTGTGCATGGTGGGTGATGTTCGGAAATTCGACGAGAAACACGCCTAATTGTACGGCCTATGCAAGTAACTAGCTCACTCCACGCGGGAGCATTTAAAATGGTAGATACACACACATGGAAGAGGCGAAATTAGTCAGTTTATCTTTTACTCCCGAACGAATGCAAGAGAGTGGTGAGTGGTTTTGAAGACACAGCGTAATTCGTCACTAGCAGGGAATGCTCTTTTAACCGCCTCATTTCTAAGGCACAGCTGTGTCAGTTAGTATCTCACTGATGTTGTCCCCAAGGAACTCACTGCATTTGTAAGAATAAGTCCTTCCTTTGCCTTGGAACTGTTGTTGTACCTAGAGCTGCTTTGATTTTCGATTCATATTCTTATCAATAAACTTTTCTGGATAGCCAGTTTTTCACTGAGCAACCGTTTAATATTATTATTAAGTTCCTCATCAAGCAAGGCATTCATCGATATCCTTTTGAGGTTTAGTTTTTTTTGAGAAAATTTGTAAAATCTCAGCGAAATTGAAATGATTAATTCCAACGTTTCGTCCGGCAATCTGGTCCGGACTTCTTCAGGGAAATTAATCGAAGTTAACATAACAGAGGTTTGTATATAAAAGGAACATCACTTGTTTTTAAAAACTTTGTCCAATCATGAGCCATTCAACAAGTATCAGCAAGTATAATAAACAAAATTTTATGAGTTGTGATCCAAATTTGACCTCGGACTTACAAATATTGGTCTACCTTTGTTAAACACTTTAAACAGAGTGTGTATGTGTGTGTGGGTAAACAGTTGTAAAACATTTGTTAAGGTTTCCATACGAAGATATGGACAGTCGAGAATTTTGACCAAGTATTAATAATTAGTGATACATATCCATTTTTTATTTATTAATAAGGATTTCCTATGCATCAGCTAACATCACGCCTTCACGTCTGTTCAAACTGCTAGTATCTAGAATTTTATGATTAGACGTATATTTTCAAAATTATGGTGTTTAGGATTAGAGTTTAGTTGAGGAGCACCCTGTCTGACTTATTGCTTTGTCTTCTTCTCTCTGAAGATTGAGCTGCTTTATTCGACCTACTGGAGAGTTGTCAGGTGACTCGACGACAGCTACGGATTTAGGGTATGTGCATTATTCTGTTGCAGACAACGTAGAGTGAAAACACACGATGGTTGTGCCAATTATATTTAGTTTCTTTGTTAATTTAATTCGATTGCAAAATAATAATTCAAATGAACCGTCTGTCGTCAAGATTTGACAGAATAGTTCTAGAATATTTGAGTGCCGAGTGAGAAGCAGACATTTGAAATGAGTAATTCCAATTCCCGTTTTCATCTCATATATTTTTTTCTTCTGTAGATCCATTTTATGTCGAGGGTGATTTAGAGGATTTTGAAGAAGAGGACGACCCAGAGAGTCAATTCTACGGGGATGAACAAAGCAACAATGAAGACGATGAAATCACTCCAGATATGTGGCAAGAGGCTTGTTGGATTGTGATCAGTAGTTATTTCGATGAAAAGGGTCTAGTCAGACAACAGTTGGATTCTTTCGATGAATTCATTCAAACATCCATTCAAAAGATTGTTGAAGATTCGCCTATCATTGAACTGCAGGCAGAAGCTCAACACACTGGTGGAATTCTAGAAACTCCTGTATGTCTTTTTTCTTTTTTCATCATTTTTTAAATCTTTTTCCTGCATATAGGTTCAATATCGTTTAAAATTTGAACAGATCTATCTGAGTAAAGCTACGCATTGGGAGAAAGACGGATCTTCAGTACCGATGACACCGAATGATGCACGGTTGAGAAATCTCACGTATGCAGCACCGCTGTATGTCGATGTCATGAAAAGAATTATACGTGATTCTGTGATTGAAGAGAAACCGCTGGAGAAAAAGTTTATCGGAAAAATACCGATTATGCTGAGGTATGTGTGTCAGTCATTCTGTGTTTTTGTCATCTTCTCTGTTATTATAGATCTACATATTGTCTACTGTCAGTAATGAGTGATCGTGATTTGGCTGAATTAAACGAGTGTCCATTAGACCCTGGCGGTTATTTCATCATTAACGGGTCGGAGAAAGTTTTGATCGCTCAAGAGAAAATGGCTACTAATACAGGTTTGTTTGCCAGCAGTTTTTTTCCTTCTTTAGCAGTGTTTATTTATTTTACGGGATGCGGTTGCTAGCCAGCCTCATGCCCAACCTTTCCTCTTCACCAGCATTATTTCTGGCTTAGCGAGGTAAAGGAGTGCGTCGGTGGCCGGCCGGGGATCGAACCCCGGACTATGTGCATGGTCGCGGCGAGCGTCCTAACCGCTATGCCACCGACGCACATCAGCGGTATTACTGACTTGTAAAATTCCCTTATTAGTTTGTTTATTAGATGGATGGATGTATCACACACACAGTCAGTCAGTCAGTGAGTGAGTGAAACAGTATTAGTATTTACTGGATGACAAATTTGTTTCGAACACAATTCATCATTATTGCTGTTCATAATCATACACATCACCAATTATTATAATCACACAACTTCGAAACTTGAGTTTTATAGTCAGTCTTCTTTGTTCTCTCCTATTTGTCGTCGTCATTTGGGTAGTAGAATTTTCCAGATATTGGGGTGGACAGGTGTTGAATCATTCCTATTACAAGCACGTATTTGCAGTTGATTCCATAAATAAAGCTTCCTGTTACATCAGATGATAACAACAGCAACAGTGAGGAATCTAAATCATCAGTAGTACAGCCATACAAAGAAGGAACCTCGGAAACCATCTTAAGGCGGAGAAATCTTAACAAGGCGGGCAGGAATAAAAGTGGCTGCTGGCATTCAAACCAACCACAAACTCAATTAGAAACAAGCTTTGTGGGTTAAAGGATCAATCCTGCCAGTGGAGCCTTCAACCGACAAAACAATTTAGTTTATCTAATACCCTGTCTGCAATGATTGTCAGGTCAAATACATAGGTCAAAGTAGTAGAACAGGGTCAGTCAGTGAGTCAGACTAGCCGAGCAGCATAAAAACCTAGCAGCGAAATCTAGATTGGTTGACCCGAATAAGATAAGAAATCTAGAGAATAGTTCAGCTATAGCACTACATGCAGTTATACACAACCATACAATAGGCTGGATGGGATAGGATGACAGTTTCAAAGTCTTATGTAACAGGGTGCAGGGAGGGAGAGATTGATAACAGAAGCTTTGTTTATCGAATCAACTACCAATATATGTCTACAATAGGAATGATTCAACACCTGTCCAGCTGGACATCTGGAGAATTCTACTACCCCGATGACGACGACAAATAGGAGAGAACAAAGAAGACTGACTATAAAACTCAAGTTTCGAAGTTGTGTGATTATAATAATTGGTGATGTGTATGATAATGAACAGCAATAATGATGAATTGTGTTCGAAACAAATTTGTCATCCAGTAAATACTAATACTGTTTCACTGACTGTGTGTGATACATCCATCCATCTAATAAACAAACTAATGTGGAATTGTTTCTTTTGAGCACAGAGCACTGTTTGTTTGAGGCGAATTGCAATAGCCTCTGGTGTTTGGAGCATGCGGTGCTTCGACGATTTTGGCAGTTTGTTAGGCACCCGGTATACCATAGAGAAGGATTCTTCAATGCTGGCTGGCCTTGTGACCGGTTTGCACCAGATGGTCTAATATCGAGCTGTTAACAGTTTTAACTACACCTTTACTTAGCCATAGTGGGATATGTTCTCGAGTGAGCATGAAAAATCAAGTTCCTAGAGCGACGGCCAACATAACTCGCTCCACAAGCGCAGTTGAATTGATTAATACAATTTGAAGTGACCAGCTAGTCTAGGTACTTCATCTTTCAGTCGAGGTAGCACCATCGGTTGTGTAGAGAATAATACGTGTAGTTCGCTGCCAGCATTAAAAGTTCTTTGAACTGATTTTCTTAATTTCTTCATAATTATCTCGCTTGGTATATCGCCCATGAATTGTAGTCGTATATATAAAGGCTTCTTGTTTACAGATAATGAGTAGTCCTTTTCCGCCGCTTTCTTTGTCATGTGTTTCTTGATAAATCTGTCAGGATAACCATTTTCGATTAAAGTATCATATACCATGCTTAATTCATCTTTAATTACTTCTTCAGAGCATATAGCTCTAACTGACTCTGTGGCTAAGGGTCTTCACTAAATTTCTTTTGTACTTGATAGGAACGAAGCTGTGAAGATGTGTGTATATTACTTACTACCACCACCACAGTGCCCAAGTTCTACACATAGAATATGCGGACGATATAGTCCTTCTAGGCGAGGACACTGACAAAATGCAGAGTCTACTGAACAACTTGAGCAACAATCTTCGTATGTTTGGTATGCGATTCGCCCCTGTAAAATGTAAGATGATGCTGCAGGATTGGACTTCATCGACCCCTAGATTAGAAATAGGAAGTGAAGTGGTTCGTGGAGCACGTTGACCGCTTCACTTACTTGGGAAGTACCATTAGCCAGTGCAACGGGTTGATCTCTGACGAAATCTCAACACAAATACAGAGGGCTACTTTCGCATATGCCCGCCAGTTTACACCGTCTCTGGCGTAGACGCGATATCCGACTATCGACCAAAGGGCCTGTGTACTGCTCAACAGTCCCCTCGGTCCTCCTTAATGGCTGGCTGTGAGACCTGGCCATTGAGAGCAAAAGACATGAAAAGATTAGCTGTCTTCGATCATAGGTGCCTGCGTTCTATCTCCCGCGTGAAGTGGTATAATAAGGTGAGCAATATTGAGGTTAGATGTCGGTCGAGTGCTAGGTAAGGAGGGGAAATCAACAGACGACGCTGAAATTACATCGATTGAGATGGTTAGGACATGTGTTATGTATGCCTAGTCATCGCCTTCCTCGACAATGAGCAATGTTAGCTGATATAGGATGAGTTAGGCTGGAAGAGAGCTAGCGGCGGTCAAACGAAAACATGGCTTCACCAGTCAATGAAATCTACAACAGTTATTCTAAGCCACGTAGGAAGGTGTAGACTGACTTCCTGACTGGTTGGGGTCCTCGGGATGACGGTAAAAACCAATGGTTGGAAACAATTGGTGATGATATGGCTCAAAATCGTTCTCAATGCTCCTTGTGACTTATGATTTCCAATGAAACTGTTTTGTTCTTCGTTATTACTATTCCTTTGTCTCACCACAACTCTGTTTACTGTCTTCTTTCTATTATGCATTTCTCCTACTTTCTTCTGTTGCTTTGTGTGCTACATGGAGTGGAGGGAGTGTGGCGACTTGAACTCCTGCACATCGGTGCAAAGTAGTTCTATGTCGAAAACCGACCGACTGACCGACATATATTAATAATCACCTGTATATATATATATATATATTCCCCCGCTTTTCTCTTCTTTCAGTGTATGTTTTCCGACAGAAAGACAGTAAATATGCCTACAAAACAGAGATTCGATCATGTCTTGAGCATAGTTCACGGCCTGCTAGCACCTTATGGATCAATATGATGGCACGTGGTGGCAAAGACGGCAGCAAACGGGCTACTATCGGTCAACGGATTGTAGCTATTCTACCCTACATAAAACAAGAGATTCCAGTGTTAATTGTTTTCCGAGCATTGGGTTTTGTCGCTGATCGTGACATCCTGGAGCATATTATCTATGATTTTGATGATACAGAAATGCGTGAAATGATTAAACCCTCACTGGACGATGCATTCGTGATTCAAGTAAGTTGTGATACCTATTTTTTTTCTTCTCATCCGATTAATTTTTTTCTCTCAGGAACAGAAAGTTGCCCTTAATTTTATCGGTTCCCGAGGTGCTCGTCCTGGTGTTACAAAGGAGAAGAGAATAAAGTATGCTAAAGAAATCCTACAGAAGGAGACTTTACCACATGTCGGTGTTTCCGACTTTTGTGAAACTCGTAAAGCCTATTTTCTAGGCTATATGGTGCATCGTCTACTGTTGGCTGCTTTAAAACGTCGCGATGTCGACGATCGTGATCATTATGGGAATAAACGGTTGGATTTGGCAGGACCACTTCTCGCCTTTCTCTTTCGTGGATTGTTTCGAAATCTTACCAAGGAGATTCGGTTGTATGCGCAAAAGTTTATAGACAAAGGCAAAGATTTCAATTTGGAATTGGCTATTCGCAGTCAAATTATCACTGACGGGTTGAAGTATTCCCTAGCCACAGGGAATTGGGGTGATCAGAAAAAAGCGAATCAAGCTCGTCCCGGGGTTTCACAGGTAAGATTATGGAGGGATTAATATTCATATTAATATTAATATTAACATTAGAAATCGTTTAAATTCTAGACTAACTAACTAACTAATTCATATGAGATGAAAAATAAACTAAATGACATTCAACAACTAGATAATGATGAAACAATGGTTAGTTTTGATATATATAACTAGTCTTTATACTAATATACCAATCAATATGCCCGCCTTAGAAGCAGTTAAAAAAGAACTAACTGCGGATCCTGAACTCAATCATAGGACAATGCTGTCCATTGAAGAAATTATTTTAGGGATTCAGCTATGCCTCACATCTATCTTTAAATTCCAAGGCAAAATTTATAGACAAACAGAAGGTGTAGCAATGGGATGGATCACCAATATCCCCTATCGTAGCAGATGTATTTATGGATAGCTGGGAAAATATGGCTCTTAATACGTTTAATCCTACTCCAAAAATATGGTGGAGATATGTGGATGACACTTTCACACACAGTGTTAAAAACACAACATATCTCTAGCTTCTTGACACACACATATAAAATCACTAGTAGAGGGAATAAAATTCACATTTGATTCGGAAAATGAACAAGGGGAATTAGCTATCACGTTAGATTGTAAAATAAAACGAATAGAAGAAGGCGAACTACACACTAGTGTTTATAGAAAACCAACGCATTCTAATAGATATTTAGACTTCAATTCGGCTCATCCATTGACTGTCTGTGAAGGCAGGCTTAGTTCAGTTAAGTGTCTAACAAACCGAGCAGTAGCAATAAGTAGTACAAGAAAAGACCTAAATGATGAAATAAAACAGATAGAAGAGGCGTTGGTATCAAATAACTAAGTATCCTATAAAATGCATTAGGAAGATCGAAAAAGGCCAAAAGCAAAATAAAAATAATTGTGAAACTAATAATGATAACATAAATAAGAGAGAATATAAGTCATCCACTGTTATACCACATAAGGAGGGGACATCTCAGACATTCCCTACGTAGGATTCTCAATAGAGCAGGAATTAGAGTGGTGGCATTCAAACCTACAAACTCACTCAGGTAGGACAAGCTCTGTAGGTTAAAGGACCCTGTCGGTTGACCCAATTAAACAAAATAATATAATTTACAAAATACCCTGCAATGACTGTGGGTTAGGTCAACTACATAGGTCAAACTAGTAGGTCAGGGGTAGTCAGATTGTCAGAACATAAGAATTTAGCTAAAGTAAGGATGGTTGACCCCAGCCGAGAAGATAAGTAATTTAGAAAGGCAGCTCAGCACTACATTGCAGTACATGCATTAACACACAACCACATAATAGTATGGTGGGAGAGGGTTAAGATTCTAAGTAGTAATCTAGGTAAGTGGAGAGAGAGGTTGATTACTGAATCCTTGTTCATCGGATCTACACCCAACACATGCAATAGGAATGAATCATCACTCATACCCGAAATATGGAAAATACTACTACCAATCAAATCAAGTGAAAAACAATGGAACTATATAAATGAATTTAGGAAGTCGTGTGATTACCTTGATATGATTATGAGCAGTAATAAATTGTGCTCGAAACTTGGTCATCAGTAAATATTACTGTATAATTTGAGTTTGTGTTTAAGATTTTCAATTTCATTTCGTATATTCTTTAGCTTTATAACAATTCTCTGTAGTCAATCAAGTGTTGGTTTGTAGGGATTTGATTGATTGGTTACAGGATTTTCATCATGGGCTGACATCAGTTAGAGAACCACTGGAAAACCTGGGAGTACTGGACAGCTGTTTCGTACTAGTTTGGGACTCTTCAGTAGTACGCGCCCACCGGGATTCAAACCCAGGACCTTCTGGTCACAAGGCGAGCTTGTGGACCATTGAGCCACTGGGACCCGATCCAATGGTCCTTGAATTCTAACTTCTGCCAATTCACGACATAGCGCGACCATTTCGCAATGTCTTCTTAGATGAGTTACTGCCTCATCTTCAACCTCAGCTCATGATGAAATCCTCCATGTAATTAAACAAAATGCCTACCAAACCAATACTTGAAAATTACTGTATAACAACACTGTGAGACTTTATCAAAACAAAATTTACCCATAATGGAATTAATATTTCTCTTTAATGCCCTTGCTTAATTAGGTGCTAAATCGGTTGACCTTTGCATCAACATTGTCACATTTACGGCGTTTAAATTCACCTATCGGAAGAGATGGAAAGTTGGCAAGGCCTAGACAATTGCATAACACTTTATGGGGTATGATTTGTCCAGCTGAGACACCTGAAGGTCATGCTGTGGGATTGGTAAAAAATCTTGCTCTTATGGCGTATATATCTGTTGGAAGTCAACCATCGCCTATTCTGGAATTCCTGGAGGAATGGAGTATGGAGAATTTAGAGGAGATTGCTCCTTCAGCTATTGGGAAGTAAGTGATACTACGCCTTGAAGCGATTTGCTTTTTCTTCCTTTCTTTCTTTCAATGTTTTAGTTTTATTCTTTTTTTCTGATTTCAAAATTTAATTTATAGAAGGTGTGTGTGTGGATGATATTGTAATCATCGGTGGTGATAAGTGTCTTGCACTGCCACCTCAGCAGCAGCGGATTGGTCGGTGACGAAATCTCAGCACGGATCCAAAAAGCTCGGGCTGCTTTCGCTAACTTACACCACACCGTCTCTGGCCGGTGTAGGCGTGACATCCGGCTATCAACCAACCAAGGGACGTGTGTACTGCTCAGCAGTTCGTTCCGTCCTTCTATATGGCTGGCTCTGAAACATGGCCAATACGAGTTGAAGACATGAAAAGGTCGACTGTTTTTGATCATAGATGTCTACGATCCCTTTCTCACGTTAGGTGGTATAATAAGGTAAGTAATGTCGACGTTAGGTTATGCGTAGAGTGTTGGGCAAAGAGGGAAAATCAATCGAAGAGGCTATAAAGTTACATAGATTGAGATGGCTAGGTGACGTGCTGCGCATGCCTAACCATCATCGCCTCCCCCTCCCGACGGGCATTACTAGCTGAAATAGGTGCAGGTCGGAAAAGAGTAAGTGGTGCCATGCCAAACAAAAACATGACCTCATCAATCCATGAAATCCTTGACAGTTAAACTGAGTCAGTCAAGTAGGGAGATGCAGACTTCCGGGTTGGGGCCAGCCCTCGGGACTCTAAGAATCAATGGCTGGAGACAGACAATAGGTGACATACATGGCTCAAAATCGTTGTCAATGGCTTACGCAGATGTATTCAGTCTCTTGTGTAATCTTTCATATTCCTTTCTACCATTACTCATTCGTTCTGTTTCACTCTTATGCTTGTCAAAATTCTATTGATTGATTCTCTTCACTCATCCATCTTCTTGTCTACCTTTGTGTGGTATTTGGAAGGTGGCAACTGGAACTGCTGCACTTTGGTGCCAAGTTCTATGTTGAATCCAGAGAGACAGACCTCAATTTTAAATCGAATGAATGAAGTTCAGAATAGTGTAAGCATATCACTTACATCTGTCTGTAGAAGAGGAAGATAATTGTTTATCTTTCCTAGACACATATTGCTTAGTCGACGGCTGGATGGGTCAGTAAAAAGATCTATTTATAGAAAACCTATTTGGACACTACAGGACAGTATCTTAATTACCACAGTTTCTGCCCTGTTTGGTATAAAAGAGCTTTAGTGAGTGAGGTGCCTCTTCAGTAGAATCCAACGAATATACACTGAAGACAGACACACTTGATGATGAGGAAGAAAGAAAGTCTGCACAAAGTCTGGTTGATAACAATTATCCACACAAGTTCATCAGGAGATATAAAGTAGTCAGTGGAACACCAAAACCCACTCACTCTACAACTTGCCCCTAAGAAAGACGTGTACATCAAGCTAACCTATATGGGTGGGGCATCATAGCAGCTTGATAACTAGACAGTGATTGAACGCTGCTGTTAAGACGACTTTTTATGCAGCTAATATCATAATAATTGAGAATGTGAAGCCAATAAATCCATCCATCTAAGCCCTTTGAACATGCGAAAAATGACGTCACATTCTCTCACAGTATTCACCAATTTGAATGTACCTGTGGACACACGCACATACATGCATAGGGAGGACTCATCGATTTCTGCAAGTAAGGGCAGGCTTCAGAGCATATTCCTAAATGGCTCCAGAAACAAATGGAATCTTCAGAACCCATTAATGGTGAGAACAGACGAAGACCTAGCTCCTCTATTGCGAAACATATTATAGAGGAGACAGGTCATAGAATTGACGTTAACAGATCTTTGAAACCTATCTATAATAGCGTGTTTGGGGAAGGGCGTATCCTTAAGTTTGTGGAAGCCCTAGCTGGCAATTAGATAGTTTAAGCCACCTTTATGCGTTCAAAGCAGCAATTCGTCATCACATTAAACCTCCCATGTTGGTACATTTTGTTTTGATACCATAGCAGATGTACTATTACCTCTGCTATTTGGTTTAGTCATTCATCTTCATTGTTATTTTGACTTTCAATATGTCCTCCTTTTAACTTGACCTAAGCAGTCAAGTAGTCTATTTTCTCACCCATCTCTTAACTCTTTATTATTTCCACATATGTATGACATTCCTATGACAAGTCTGTGTGTGTGTGTGTGATGGATCAGATTGTTCGAAATGTGTTTCGCAAATATGCACATTACACACACGATTCAGACAGACAAATTACGTCTTCCTTCTTATTGCTGCTTTATCTAAATTCATAAAGGGAAGTTATAAGATTTGATAGTGTGGAAAATTTCCATATTATGAATTAAAAGTCAATCTGAACGAAGAATATTCTTTTCAATAATTTCTCATATTCAGGTTCTTACAATTATAAATTAAAATATTTGTTGTCGTTACAATAAAGGCCAGTTATGCGGCAGATACATTTTTAACGTAGAATAACAGATTAGTTATGGGGTGTCAGAATAAATAGTCGTATTTGTGTGACAAACGTGCTAGGCTGAATTCGATTACAAAACATTGTAAAACGGGAGACAATGGTGGTGATTAATCATAATAGATTTGTAGAGTGTGGGGTAGAAAAATTGACAAGTAAGCAAGTCAGTGAGTTCAGTGTTATAAAAGGTGTTAGGTGAGTGAGTGGAGTGGCTAGTACAAAGTGGTCTGTATTAAACAGGAGGAGATAGTAAGACTGCAATGAGAGGTTCATAATGAAATAACGAATATGTGTGAAATGAAGAAACAGGTGGAGGCATATATTGAGAAAAGAGATAATATCACTTTCTAATAATAAGTCCGGATAGTATAAATGGAAAATTCGATAGTATTGAGAGAATGTTTTCATGAAGGGCATAAATTGTGACGAATAATAATAATAATAATTGTAATAATAATATTTGTAATAATAAGCAAATGAAAAAAAAGCCAAGAGGGTTAAGGGGAAGGAGCACTCTTGGTGAGAAGAAGAATCATCAGTCCAAGTTTGGCCACGGTAGGAATAGCGTCTGGACGTGTTCTTTTTGGATACAAAGTTTAGTCGATCTTATTGCAACAGCTTCAGCTATGTGTAGAAGACGTAAGCGAACTGTACGTGATGATGACTTCGGAATTCGGTATATAACCCTGAAAGCTGTGTTGACATTGATATGATGTCATATTATATTTTATAATTGTAAGAACCTGAAGAGAAATTATTGAAAAGAATATTCTTCGTTCAGATTGACTTTTAATTCATAAAGAGAACACCAGTTATTATAGATTTTTCTTTTCTAGTTCAATATATTCACCAAAGTATTTTTCTTTTTTTTTTCTTTTCTGATTTAAAAATTTAATTTAGAACATGTAAAATATTCGTCAATGGTTGTTGGGTAGGCATTCATAGTTCACCGGATCACTTAATGGGCACTCTGCGTAAACTTCGTCGTCAAGTTGATGTCATTGTCAGTGAGGTCAGTATGATACGAGATTATCGTGATCAAGAAATCCGGATTTATACAGACGCTGGACGTATTTGTCGTCCACTGGTCATTGTTGAAAAAGGCAAACTACTTTTGAAACGTAGTCATATTGAACTATTAAAGGATAAAGCGTACAATCGGTATAGGTAAGTTATGATGCCTTAAAAAAATTTTTTTTAGTTGTTTTTTCTTTATTTCACGTTCCCCAGTGGAACATAGGGCGCCTTCAAGCTAGTGGCTTGAAGTTTCTGTAGCAGTGTTTATTTTACAGGATGGAGTTGCTAGCCAGCCTTATGCCCAACCTTTCCTCTTCACCAGCATTATTTCTGGCTTAGCGAGCGAGGTAAAGGAGTGCGTCGGTGGCCGGGGATCGAACCCCGGACCATGTGCATGATCGGCGAGCGTCCTAACCGCTATGCCACCGACGCACTATAGGTAAGTTATGATGCCTTAAAATTTTTTTTAGTTGTACATTACAATAAAGACTAGGCTGTTTTATTATTATTATTATTATTATTACATTATACAAGATCTTTGTGATACGATCAATTACATCTTTATATATATATATATATATATGTATATATATATATATATATATAATATTCATTCAGAGACATCTATCTATAAAACACAAAATATAATTGAGCCAGCAAAGAATATCCTTTCCGATAAATTCCTCCTCCTCTTCTCGCTCTACAATTATATCTATATATGCATGTTTATATACATAGAATATTCTAGATTAGTAGTCAATAACAACATCGGTGTGCTTTTTAAATAGTAATATCGATTTGTAAAGTAAGATCACAATGGAATCACCACAGTTCATTAAAGATGCTTAAATAATAATAATTATTATAACAAAGATATAGTAGGAAATAGAATATCAACTGAAATTAGGAAAATTCCACAAAAATTCAGGATCGATCATTCAAACCTAGATGGCCAAGCGGGTAAGGATAATGTCTGAACTAAGTAGCTTCCTTTGGATGCACAAATTAGGCTTGTCAATCTGCATCCCAACGACCAGCCAGCCTCACCAATATTTAGTAGTCTTGTGTTCTGTATCCACAAGATGATGAGTGAGATAGAATAGCCCTGTGAATAGATTTTGTTTGTCCTGTGCCTAACTACTCAGGGTGATGTTCAGAAATTCGACGAGAAACACGCCTAATTGTACGGCCTATACAAGTAACTAGCTCACTCCACGCAGGAGCAGTTAAATTGGGAGATGATACACATGGAAGACACGAAATTATAGTCAGTTTGTCTTTTACTCCCGAAGGAATGCAAGAGAGTGGTGAGTGGTTTTGAAGACACAGCGTAATTCATCACTAGCAGGGAATGCTCTTTTAACCACCTCATTTCTAAGGCACAGCTGTGTCAGTTAGTATCTCACTGATGTTGTCCCCAAGGAACTGACTGCATTTGTAAGAATAAGGCCTTCCTTTGCATCGGAACTGTTGGTGTACCTTGAACTGCCCTTGACTTTAGATTCATATTCTTATCAATAAACTTTTCTGGATAGCCAGTTTTTCACTGAGCAACCGTTTAATATTATTATTAAGTTCCTCATGAAGACATTCATCCAAGCGAATTACTCTTTCTCTGTGAACCAAGCACTTTATCAGATTGCATTTGTATTTCTAGGGCACGAAACTGAGAAAATGGGTATACTGACCCGTTGATGTAGGTTTTCTATATACACTTCTTTGTATTGTGCCATCCTCTTTTCTTGTCATAAGGACGTCTAGAAATGAAATACTAGAGTCTTTCTTTCTCAATAGTAAAATTTATTGCAGGATAAACCTCGTTAAATTTATCCGGGATGTTCTTTGCTTCCTCCTTCTCATTTTTTCATTACCAAAAAAGTATCATCCATGTATCGACAATAAAATTCGAGTTCATTGATAACATCCTTCAAAGGCCCATTATTTTCTAGTTTCACCAGGAAAATGTCGGCTAGAATGCGTCCTAGTGATAACCCCATTGTCACACCGTCGATTTGTCTATATAGTTCTTTGCCGACCGAAAGCTGCTACCTTGACGTGGTGGTCGGGCTTGAACACTTCAATGACCCAACAAGCTATACTGGCTGGAACTTATGTTCCTGCAGGTCCTACCATGCCAGAAAGGTTGTTTGGATAGCAGTTAGACTAAAAGCAGTTACCTAATCCAATCCTATGATTTCAAATAAATCACAAAATATCATACCGGATCGGTCGGGGCCCGGATTAACAACGACCGCGCTTTCTGCTGCTGTGTCACAGGGCAGAAGTGATAAATACGCTACTGAGACACACCAAATAAAAAAGAACAAACAAAAACAGGCCGTGTGTGACCGGCCTCAAGCAGTTGTCCCCTGGGGTCTGCGGTCACGCAACCAACTTCCACGGTGTGGGCAGCCGGGAAGTAACAATCGCCCTCACAATCCGAAGTGCACGCGAAACCCCTCTAATCCTCGCTCATCTTTGTCTTCATCTTCATCTCTATTACCTTGCCTTCCTTCTACCAATGCAACTCCTCCACTTGTTGGCTCTTCACTTCCTCTTCACTCTGTGTGCACTGATAACGATGGAAGCCAAAAAGCCACCACCGATGGTCTCCTAAAACCACGCCACCAATTTTATATAGGAGCACTTAATGTTAGGACACTTTGCCAAATAGGACGACAAGCATCACTAGCCAAGACTCTGGCATCCCGAGCCATTGATGTATGTTGCGTTTCAGAAACACGCATACAAGACCCAAGTGTGGTTATTCACCTAACCCCACCTGGCCAACAGGATGAATCTGCAAAATTCGCCTTGAGGGTGTCAGGAGATGCGACGGCTAGCTCACGAGGATTAGCTGGTGTTGGGATAGCTTTAAGTACTAGAGCAGAAAAGACACTACTTGACTGGATCCCGGCAGATAGCTGAATGTGTGCTGTCCGCCTGAAAGGATAAGTGAAAAGGAGAAAGGACTGCACTACCCGCCGATGCCTTTTCGTAATCTCCGTCTACGCCCCCACTGACTGCAGTTCGGATGAAACGAAGGATGAGTTCTACCAAAAGCTGTCTAGTTTGCGGTGAAAGGCTAGATGCTCAGATATAGTCGTCTTAGCTGGTGACTTTAATGCTCAAGTAGAGAAATTGTGTCAATCTGAGAAGAATGTCGGTGGCACATACGGAATTCCGTGCCAGCGAACCGACAACGGTGACCGTCTCCTACAGTTCTGTTCAGATAATCATTTGTATCTTGTAAGCACTAACTTCAAACACAAGGAGAGACACTGTTTGACCTGGCGACCCCCATCATCAAATCAACGCTGGACACAAATAGACCACATAGCAATAAGCTATCGTTGGAGTGGGTCGGTAGGAGATTGTCGTTCTTTCTGGAACACGTGTGTAGATACCGATCACGCACTGGTCCGCGCTCGTGTGTGCTTACGACTGAACGGACGTAGGAAACAGCTAGCGTTAAACCCATCTCGTCCCCAGCTCGATCAGGAAACTAAGTCCCTATTTGAGGAAGAACTAGCTAAACACATATCTGAGTTCGACAGCTACGCTCACCCTGAAGAAGCCTGGAAGAATATTCAGTCAGCCATAGATACAGCTGTAAAAGCTGTGAATAAGGTAAATCCAAATGTGAGTAAAAGCCATTGGATTTCGACTGCCTCATCCGAACTGATAGATGCTAGAAGACTTATTCCGGCGAGCTCCGAATTCAATGAGGAGCGAAAGCTGCACAAAAAGAAACTTACGAAAAGTCTCGGCAAGGACCGTGAACAGTGGTGGTTGACAAAGGCAAAAGAGATGGAAAAAGCATCGGCGATAGGCAACACCAGACAACTATTCAGGCTTATCAGGGAAACAGGTGGTAAAAGGCAAATGATAAGCGAAACAATCTCCGAGAAAAATGGCACCATAATTAGCTCCCAGGATAGACGTCTGGAGCGCTGGAAAGAACACTATGAGGAGCAGTTTAATTGGCCCACAGCCACAGTTAACCTGCCGGACATCCAACACCTCCCTGAATGGGAGGTAGACACAGGTCCTCCGTCCTTAACTGAGGTTACTAAAGCTGTCACCAATCTGAAGCTAGGCAAAGCAGCGGGACCTGATTTATTGACTCCAGAGGTATTTAAGTACGGAGGAGACAGTTTACTGTCTGCGTTAACGGAGGTTCTAGGCAGCGTCTGGGAATCAGAGGAAGTCCCATCGGGTTGGTGTAAGTCACTGATCATCCCGATATACAAGAAGGGAGACAAGTCTTCTTGTGATAATCACAGAGGGATTAGCTTGACTAATATAGTATCTAAAATCCTAGGCTCAATAATACTGCGTAGACTAAGTGGTGCTCGGGGGGAACAAGCACGAGAAAACCAGGCAGGTTTTAGGCCAGGTAGAGGGTGTATTGATCATATCTTCACCCTTCGACAGATTCTAGAACATAGGCATTCCTACCGGCGTCCGACAATCATTATATTTCTTGACCTAAAGGCGGAATTCGATTCTGTCGACCGAGAGGTTCTCTGGCGATGCTTGGCTGTAAAGGGAATGCCGAGAAAATACATTGCACTGATCAAGCCATGCACTCTACTCGTACTCATGCAGTCAGCCAGGTGAGGGCTTATGGCGAGTTGTCATCTGAAGTGGTGACGACTAGTGGCGTCCGTCAAGGATGCCCATTATCCCCATTCCTATTCAACTTCATCATAGACGTACTAATGGACTTAACCCTATCACACTTCAGCGACTCAGGGATTGACTTGCTACCAGGGATGGAATAATCTCATTGACTTAGAATATGCGGACGGTATAGTCCTTCAAGGCGAGGACTCTGACAAAATGCAGAGTCTACTGAACATTCTGAGCAACAATCTTCCTATGTTTGGCATGAGATTCGCCCCTGTAAAATGTAAGATGATGCTGCAGGATTGGACTTCATCGACCCCTAGATTAGAAATAGGAAGTGAAGTGGTAGAGCACGTTGACCGCTTCACTTACTTGGGAAGTACCATCACAGCCAGTGCCAACGGGTTGATCTCCGACGAAATTTCAGCACGAATACAGAGGGCTAGGTTCGCATTCGCCAGTTTTCGCCGTCTCTGGCTTAGTAGACGCGATATCCAACTATCGACGAAAGGGCGTGTGTATTGCTCAGCAGTCCGCTCCGTCCTCCTTTATGGCTGTGAGACCTGGCCACTGAGAGCGGAAGACATGAAAAGATTAGTTGGCTGTCTTGGACCATAGGTGTCTGTGTTCTATCTCCCGCGTGAAGTGGTATAATAAGGTGAGCAATATTGAGGTTAGATGTCGGTCGAGTGCTAGGTAAGGTGGAGAAATCAATCGACGAAACGGCGAAATTGCATCGACTGAGATGGTTAGGACATGTGCTACGTATGCCTAGTCATCGCCTTCCTCGACGGGCAATGTTAGCTGATATACGGCCAGGCTGGAAAAGAGCTAGCGGCGGTCAAACGAAAACATGGCACCAATCAATGAAATCCGCAACAGTTAGTCTAAGCCACGTAGGAAGATGTAGACTTCCTGGTTGGGGCCCTCTGGATGGTAAAAACCAATGGTTGGAAACAATTAGTGACATGGCTCAAAATTGTTCTCAGTGGCGCAGATGCATGCACTGCTTGTGACTTATGATTTCCAATGAAACTGTTTTGTTCTTCGTTATTACTATTCCTTTGTCTCACACCTCTGTTTACTGTCTATATTATTATGCATTTCCTCTACTTCCTTCTCTCGCTTTGCGTGCTACATAGATTGTGGCGACTTGAACTGCCGCACATATGCGGAAAGTTCTATGTCGAAAACCGACCGACCGACCTATGTAGTTCTTTATTAAATAAAAAGTGGACATTCATCGTGCATTTCAAGAGAAGCTCTTTCATCAGAAGAGATATAGGAATGCCAACCTCGATGTTTCGTCTTTTGAGTTCTTCGCATCTAAAGTCCACTATTTCCATAAGTGGTACACATTGGTGAATCAGAAAGGATACGTCAACAAATGATATCATGAATTTATTGTCAACATTTTTATCTTTTATCCTTTCAAAAAAATCCAAAAGTATCCATTACAACACTGTGTTTCACCAACTCGGTATGAAGAGGCTGTAAGAGTTCGACTAACCATTTAGCTACGGGATGATGGTATGGTGAATTTAACATATCTAATACTGGCCGTTGAAGCGGTACACCATTTTTCTGCACTTTAGGCGCGAGCCATATAATCTTGGTGTGAACACGTTGCAGTGGGTTCTATGTAATTTTTTCCCTATTTGATTAGTTAATGCACTCAGGCATAACTCAACCACTCCTCTTACAGTTTATCAACTCGTGTATTTTACCTATTCTTCTTTACTGTTCACCACTGCTTATTATTTCCTGGATTGCTTAAAAAAGACTATGTCATACTTCGTAGAACTCTGAAGACTGTCAGTCAGTAGGGCTTGTGGCATCCCATTGGGCCATATCGTTGACATTGTCACTGATAGGCATTTGATGTCATGCAACAAATTTGCAAAAGGAATTTTGTCAGACTGTGAGCATCCACCGCAGCACCCGCAGCTCCAACCTTGTGTCTCCTCCTTAGGTAAAACAAGAAGCCTTTTCAGAAGACTTTATGCACGTACGTCTAAGTATAAAAATTCCACTATACCATATTTAGCACGTACTTTATGTGATGAAAATAGCGTCAGAAATGAACTAACTAACCTTCTTTGCACTACTAAATAAACCATTTTCTCCACTCTTATAACATCAACCTTTATTGTTATTGTACTTCTTATATTTATAATCCTCTCAATTTTTTATTTTTATTTGTTTATTTTTTCGTAAGTGTGAACATCATTTAAGCTGTGTTGTAACTGTTAATTTTGTATTTCCCCTGACCATGCTGCTATATCAACAATACTGTTTGAAACAAACTCACTGTTATTATTATTATTATAATTATTATATTTAATATTCTTGATTCGTGCTTCCAATATTTTAGACTTCATGTCGTAAACGTGGACAAATTCCTCTGGTTGATTTTGTTTTAATTTTATTTATATTTTGAGGAGTAAATCAGATGCAAGGTGTTGTGACAAATGCTGAGAATTCCATTCTGTATTATAAGTACTATCTATTTTGGAATAAAGTAGATTATTATTATTATTATTACTGATAATAATTTTATGTTAAATGACTTTTTACCGCTCGCGTCTTATATGTGTTATATGTTATAGTTGGCAGGATCTTGTGCTCAGTGGTGTAGTCGAGTACATCGATACACTTGAAGAAGAAACTGTTATGATAGCTATGGGTCCGGCGGAGATGCAAGCTGCAGTGAATTACTGTAAAACGCATACACATTGTGAAATTCATCCCAGTATGATTTTGGGTATTTGTGCCAGCATTATACCCTTTCCTGATCATAACCAATCACCAAGAAATACTTATCAAAGTGCTATGGGTAAACAAGCTATGGGTGTGTATATTAGTAATTTCCATACGAGAATGGATACCTTGGCTAATGTTTTATACTATCCTCAAAAACCACTTGTCTCTACTCGATCTATGGAGTACTTACGTTTCAGAGAACTTCCAGCTGGTGAGTATTTCCTTTTTAATAGTTTTTTGTTGTTGTTGTTTTACTGTCATAGTCTTTCCTTTATTATTTATTATTATTATATCCTTTAATTCCTAGAGGAACATAGGGCTTCAGCCGTGCGTCTCCATGGCGTTCGGTTCTCTGCTAAAGTTTTCACCTGGCTCCAACTAAGTCTGCCCATATGCTTTCATCTCCTCTTCACATGACCTCCTCCAAGTCAGCCTTGGACGACCTCTCGCCGCTTCCCTTTCGGTTTCCACTCGAGCAATGGCCTGTCGTGTGATGTCACTTGATGGTTTGTTTCCTCAGAGTATGGCCAATCCATCTCCATTTCCTCCTGCCTATTTGTTTCACAATCGGTTCCTGCTGTGTTGGTTCGCTCATTGCCAGAGATCTCTGTTGCTGATCTATTCTGGCCGGCCATCTGATCTTGAGTGGTATTGAGGGAAGACAACTGTTAATGAAGGTCTGTAGTTTGTTTGAGATGCTCTTTATGACGTGCTGGCCAAGTCTCTGATCCGTATAGTGAGTAGCACTGACTGACTTCACATTGGAGTTGAAAATCCGGATCTTATTTTTGATGCTGAGTGCTGTCTGTTGACCTCCACACAGACTTGAGAGTAGTGAAAGCTTGTCTTGCGTTCCCGATTCTTGCTTTGATATCCTCGTCAGTTCTGTCTGCCTGTAGTTGAAACGATGCTTCCCAGGTAGGTGGGTGAAGGAGGTTGTTTCTTTCAGATTCCTCCCATTTATTCTGGCTGATTGTTGTCTGTTGTTGTTGTTGCTGTTGGTGGTGTTGCCCGGGAATCTTCATCACCTCTGTTTTATCTATGTTCACCTGAAGTCCTATCTTCGCTGGATGCTCCTTCTGCCAACTTGTTGCTTTTCACTTGCATATCTTCGAGTTTGTGGGAAATCAGACATATATCATCGGCGAAGTCCAGATCCTTCAAGTTCTTTGTGTGTGTCCATTTTATGCCTGTTTCCTCATTGCCCTTTACCTTTACCTGATTATTTATTTATTTATTTAAACGCAGAAGGAAAAAACTTGGTACCATATGGCACCAAGAAAGATGCGCCACACTATAATAATAAAACAACATAGATTAAAATTAAAAAAATATAGGGTTGGAGAACGCATAAAGAACTCCATACTTAACAAGTTCAAACAGTATTCGTTAACAATCTATCATCAGGAAGGGAAGAAAGAAGGAAATTGCAGTACGACGTTCGCCATTGATGACTGGCGATTCTTGGCCATATCCGATAACGTTTCGAGCCATCGATTCGAGCTATCTCGCGGACCCGAACCAGGGAGTCGTGACGCACCAACCGATGCTAATCTATCACAAACATCCTTCATCCCACGACGCCACTTCATGGACTGACCACCCCTCCGCCTTTTCAATCCCATCCCAGGGCTAGCCAGCGAACAGAGACCTGTACAGGCGTAGAGCAAGACAGCCCGAAGCACCAAAGCATTGTAAACCCGACAGCCTTTGACAGCCAGGCGGCTAACGTCGCGACGGCGCCAGAGGTGGCTGAAGTCGATGTATGCGCCACCCTAGCCTTCATTACACGGTTGGAAATCTCATCCGCTGCATCTGGCAACAGTCGGAAGCTGTTCCAACTCATCCGAGCCACTGGCAGCAAGAAACAAGGTGTCAGCGAGACGGTCTGTAAGGCAGATGGCACACCAATTATCAGCTTGAAAAGATGCCTGGAACGCTGGGCAGAGCACTTCGAGAAACTTTACCTGATTATCCATTTGTTGTTTTTCACATAACACATCCCGTTGAATGTATAGTCTCTACTACTATGAGCAGTTCAGAAGGTAGCAGCAGGGTCTATTTCTTCTGCATACAGAGCTCCGGTGGTTTTTTTGTTTTTTTTTTAAGCGAATTTTGTTGGCCTCTGCTGCTGCTGCTGCTTGGAGTGTTCAGTATTTAGAAGCCTTTGGCAATTTATTCTATACTCAATAAATAATAGAAAGACACTCTTCAATGCCTAACGACATGGCCTGTTTGAACGCGGTGATCTGTTAATAGAAGTGTTGATGGTTGATTTTAACCACCACATTGGTTCCCCGAGCATGAATGATTAAGTTCACAGGGCGGGCGATGAGCAATATAACTGGCTACACACACACATACAAGCACTTAGATTGTGATGGATACAAATACAGGTGATGGCTAGGCTAAGTACCTGATTTCGTTTGGTTTCAGTTTCAAAATCCCAATCAGTTGTATGGAAAATGTGAATTACAGCTTACCAGCATCAAAAGTCATACACATCGATCTTCTCAACTTGTTAGTTATTATTATTATCATTTCGTTTGGTTGCATCACCTGTGAATTGCGGTCGGTTGGTCGGTCGGTTTTCGACATAGAACTTTGCACATATGTGCGGCAGTTCAAGTCGCCACACTCCATTTAACACACAGAGGAAGAGAAGGAAGTAGGAGAAATGCATAATAGAGAGAGACAGTAAACAGAGGTGTGAGATAAAGGAATAACGGAGAACCAAACAGTTTGATTGGAAATCATAAGTCACAAGGAGTGGATGCATCTGCGCTAGCCGTTGAGAACGATTTTGAGCCATATCATCACCAATTGTTTCTAGCCTTCATGGGTTTTTACCGTCATCCCGAGGACCCCAACCAGTCAGGAAGCCAGTCAACACCTTCCTACATGGCTTAAACTAAGTGTTGTGGATTTCATTGACTGGTGACCATGTTTTGGTTTGACCGCCGCTAGCTGCTTTCCAGCCTGACCCATCCTATGTCAGTTAACATTGCCCAATGTCGAGGAAGGCGATGACTAGGCATACGTAGCACATGTCTTAACCATCTCAGTCGATGTAATTCCACACTCTCGTCGACTGATTTCCTCGCCTTACCTAGCACTCGACCGACATCTAACCTCAATATTGCTCACCTTATTATACCTGTGAATTGCAGTCATATATATATATATATATATATATATATATATATATATATATATATTTACAAAGGCTTCTTGTTGGCAGATACAGAAGGCTCTGTAGGCAGAAAGACCCTGTTGACCCAATTAAACAAAATAATATCATTTACAAAATACGCTGTAATGGCTGTGAGTTAGGTCAGCTACATACATAGGTCAAACTAGTAGATCGGGCGGTGTAATCAGATTGTCGGAACATAAGAATTTAGCTAAGGTAAGAATGGTTGACCCCAGCCGAGAAGATAAGTAATTTAGAAAGGCAGCTCAGCACTACATTGCACTGCACGCATTAACACACAACCACACAATAACATGATGGGAGAGAGTTGAAATTCTAAAAAGTAATCTAGGTAGGCGGAGATGGAGAGAGGTTGATTACTGAATCCTGGCTGGTTCATCGAGTCTACACCCAACACAACACATGCAACAGAAATGACTCAATGCAAATACCAGAAATATGGAAGATATTATCACCACCAGTCTGTCAAATCAGAAGAGGATAATAAATAATCTTAAATTGTATTCTATTTCAATTCAATTCAAGCACATCATCACAACATTCTAACAAGTTACTTATTATGACTATAACAGAAACACTCGTCTTATTTCCCATCTGATTGTATTTGATCAATAACACTCATATTATTATTATTACTTCTGAATGTACATTATCCCATATTGCTGATTTGTATTCAAATGTCTAATCATGAATTCCACTCATGTATATAAATGAAGGAAAAAAGTTGTGTGAGTGAGTGAGTGACTTGATATAATGATTATGAGTGGCAATAATAAATTGTGCTTGAAACGTGGTCGCATCAGTTAATATTACTTACTGTATAACACTACACACACTGTGTGACACTTTATCAAAATAAAATCTTATCCATAATGAAAGAAAATTTGCACTGCATCATGTGATTGATATAGGTTGAATTATCTTCGAGACTGTCAGCAGGATGCGACGGATAAATTTTACAGCATAGTGCTTCACTTTTTCTATTTTCTGTTTTAACTTTGTCGTCTCAAAAATATTTTACACAAGTTTTTTTTCATTTATTATCGCATGGTGTAAAATATTTAAATTCCAACTCTGGCATAGTGAATAGAAAGAGTTTTCACGATACGTACGGTTGATAATTTTATGAAAACAAAACACGTAGTGTTCAGCGAAGAGTCTCTTTTCGGCGGCGAATTCATTTTCTTAGCTGTACAATCGCAAATATATATACATGCGTTATTTTGTATGTATGTGTATATTAAGTTTGTCGAACAAAAATAGACAATTGGTTATGGTTATTTCAACTAAACAGGTGAAGATTGGTTGTTGGAGTTACGTAATACAGAGTGAGTATTATTGCGGTAGGACGTAGAGTTTTAAGGGTGATGAAGGCAAGTTAATCGATAAAGCTGTGAAGCTACATCGCTATTGAGATAAAAGTTGCCCACGTGTGTTACACATCCTCAACCGCTGCGTTCGTCAATGAGCAATGTTAGCTGACATCAGGTAGGATTAAAAAACAGAAAGATTGAGCAGCGAAGAAATATTTACACTTTTCAATTAGATCCTCCCTCATCTCACTCTGGCTCTACTCTACTCTACTCTAATATACACGTATACACACGCATTTTTATTACAATACACAACAAACAATTTACCAATCATCAAGTGGCACTGGCATATTTGTTTGTTTGTTAACAATAATTAGTCAGTCAGTGTCAACATGTCAAGCAGGCGGCAAGGGGTGATAATTAACGAAGAAAATTAGCATACACACAATTAAAAGGTAGAAATGGTTAGAATAAATTAATTTTACAAGGATAACACGTAATTGAAGATGAAGTGGTCAGAAAAAATAAAATAATTTAGACAATTATAATATTTTTATAATTTTCAAATGTTTAAGGGGAAGGGGGGCGAAGTAGTCCGGTTTATACATTCATGTAACGATGGCCAAGGTAAGGACAGTGGCTGTACAAATTTCTTCTGAACACACACAGGTTTGGCTTCTTCTTCAAGTGGATTCCTATTGCTTCAGCAAAATTAAGATTAGTAGGAATGCGATAAATAATTTTAAATGCTGTATTAACATCAACCTTATGCTCACTATCTACAAGGTGTGCTGCAATAGAGCTATGAATAGATCTTGTTTGTCCCTTGCTGCTTAACCATGCTGCAGGGTGGTGTTCGGAAATACGATGATGAACCTGCCTAATTGTACGCCCCCGATGTAGCTGGCTCCGCAGCTGCAGTCAAACTGGTAGATACACACAGAGGCGGAGGCAAATTTAGATAGTTTATCCTTATTTCTCGAACGTAGAATAGGGGTGGTTGTGAAGAGACAACGTACCTCTGCTGCATAATAAGCTCTTTTAACTGCATTCTTCAGGTGTTCGCTGTGTTATTATTTCGCTGATGTTGTCACCGAGGAACTGCAGTTTTATGAACATTGGTTTTTTCGGAACTGTTGTCATACTGACTCTCCTAGGTGATGAATTCATATTTTCCCCAATGAACTTGTCTTGATAACCATTTTTCCTAAGTAATTCTCTAATAATATTAAGCTCCTCATTGAGGCAGTCGTCTGAACAGATTAACCTAGCTCTATGAACCAGACACTTTACCAGGTTACGTGTTTATATTTCAAAGGTACAAAACTCAAAAAATGAGCGTACTGACCTATTGTTGTAGGTTTCCTATACACACACTCCTTCTTAGTGTGCCATTTTCTTTCCTTGCCATGAAGACGTCTAGGAATGAGTGAGATACTGTCATTACTTTCTTTCTCTCTATGGTAAAGTTTATTGCTGAATGTGCATCATTAAACTTGTCAAGGATGTTCATTGCATCATTCTCGTCTTTCATAACCAGAAATGTATCATCCATATATATCGACAGTAGAAATCCAAGTCATTAATTACTCCTTTCAGTGGTCCATTCTCTAACTTAGCTGGGAAAAATTCAGCTAATATTGAACCTAATGGTGAACACCATCAATTTGTCTGTAATTTTCCATATTGAAAATAAGAAATGACCATTCATTGTACATCTTAAAATAAGTTCCTCCTTCAAGGTTAAGTTATTTTGGTATCGCATAAAGAGATGATCAAATAACTAGGCATTTTTATTGACTATGGCTCCTTAAAAAAAGCCTGACTGTCGATTGGATGCAATCGACTAACAACGCCAATCAAATATCAAAGACAAGGGCCAGGCAAACAGATCGTTTATTTACGAAATCAACACACATAGTTATCGATTTTCATGTACATTATTATAGATTATTGTTAGCAGACAAACACAGTCTTCTGATTGGTTGTTCTGCTAATTGTATCCGCCCACGCAAACAAAGTGTGCTGTGATTGGTTGTTGGTTGACTCAGTCAGTCTTTGATCTTGTTTTCACATGACCAATATTTGGGACATAAATATTGACGTAAATTGCTGTCTATCGATTTTTGCTAGCAGACAGCTCTCACCACAAATCAAATATCCTTTTTCTTTTCTTAGGCATCAATGCAATCGTTGCCATAGCCACATACACTGGCTATAATCAAGAAGATTCTGTCATTTTAAATGAAAGTGCTATTCAACGTGGATTTTTTAGATCTGAATTTTACAGAACCTATAAAGATCAAGAGACACGACATGGTATGGATTTGGAGGAGGTATTCGAGAAACCGAATCCACAAAATTGTCAAGGAATGCGTCATGCTATCTATGATAAATTAGATGATGATGGCTTGATTGCACCGGGGACAAGAGTTTCAGGCGATGATGTACTCATTGGAAAGACGATTACACTGCCAGAAAATGAAGATGAGGTAAGTAATTTTTTGTTCTCATAGGTACTTAGTGTAATTCAATTGTGTGGGTAGTTCTTGTCAAGTCTTTGTTCATTTTATTGTCAAATATTGTATTCACGCTTCACAACCCTATTCCTTAATAATTGCGAGTGTGTGACTATCAGTAGTGGAATTCAGTCCAGGATGACGCGCATTTCGTCCTATTTGGGACTCGTCAGCTAACTGGATTTACCTGCATTCCCCAGTCAGTGAGTCAGTGATGATGTTCCCACGACAGAGGCTCGAACTCAGTGCCCATAGTTTCAAACACCAGCAGCCAAAGCGTTATCCACTGGACCACTTGGGTGGGCCACAAGAGCTGGCCACCTCTTGTGCAACGGGTCATATTAATTTAATTGAATTTTAGATTTTCCCGTCCATTGATTGATTGGACCGACCGAAGTGCTCGGTCTCAGGTTGATATATCGGCTTCTTGTGCAGATGTTTCGACTATGTCTGGGCATTTAATTAGAATTTAAAAGGAGGATGGTTCAATCAATCGACGGGAAAATCTTATATTCAATTAAATTAACATGACCTGTTGCACAAGAGGTGGCCAGCTCTCGTGGCCCAAGTGGTCTAGTGGATAACGCTGTGGCTGGTGCTTGAAACTATGAGCACTGGGTTCAAGCCTCCGTGGTGGAAACATAATCACTCGCTGGGGAATGCAGGTAAATCCAGTTAGCTGACGAGTCCCAAATAGGACCGGTGAAATGCGCGTTATCCTGGACTGGATTCCCCTACTGCCAGTCACCATCCACAAATTAAATTCTAATTAAATGCCCAGACATCGTCGAAGCATCTGCACAAGAAGCCAACAGACATATCAGCCTGAGACCGAGGAGCACTTCGGTGTCCAATCAATCAATGGACGGGAAAATCTAAAATTCAGTTAGACTATCAGATATGTTTGTAATGTTTCTATCATGTTTTGAACATTTGAAAAATATTTCGTATTGAACGAAATATTCCCATATTGAGTCATAAGAAAAAGGCACAAACAGCGAAGAAGAAAACTTTCTTTTCGACGATTCATTCATTTTCATGAGCTGCTGTACAATCGTAATTATAATTAACAAAGAAATCTTTAGACCAATCAGATAAATTGGTAAATTTTTCGTCCTTGGAAAATTGTATGACATAATGTAAGGTGTAACCTAGAAGGGATGACTAATTGTAAGTTAGAAAGGAGACAGAAGTTGGCATGACGTAATAAGTGTGAGATAATGAATAATCAATAATCTCGTGTAAAATGGACAGGAACTAGTGGAAAGGCTATAAAGTGTTTTTGTATAAAATATGTATGAAAAGCAAATGTTATTAATAAACAGTAATAGAGTGGTAATAAAATGTGGATGATGGGGACAAAATGATAATAAAAGTATTAATAAAATAAAATAATAATGGTAATAATAGTGAACTTACATAATAAAGGAAAGAAGCAAAATTGTGGTGAGAACTTTACTCTGGCCATGGTAAGGCAAGAGAATGTATGTATCGCTTTTGTATGCAGAGGTCCGGTTTCAGATCTCGAATAGCTAATGCTTCAGCTATGTACAGATGGCGAATCCGAAGTCCCTTTGTACGATATTGAGGGACTCTGTGTAACACTGTGAAGCATTCATGTGAGGGTGCTCGATGTCCAGAGATGACAAGGTGTTCGAGGATCGAGCTGTTGCTATTCTTCTTTTCTCCCCTGGATAACCAAGCTGGGCAGTGTTCCAGAATACGTTTTTGTGGACTTGACGTTGCGTACGGCCAATATACTTTGCTCCACACGAGCAAGTAAATTGATAAATACACATTGAGGTGGCCAAAAGCGGTATCTTGTCCTTGGCGTTAGACTGGATTAACTGTCTGCAGGATAATGTGATACGGACATTATGTAATACAATTTTTCAAGGACAAAATTTACCAGTATCTGATTGGTCTAAAGATTTCTTTGTTAATTATATTTCGTATTATTAATATCATTAGGTGAGTAATACAAGTGGATATTTTGTTGTTGATGAAAATAGAGAAACAAACGTTGAATTGGACCAGTGACTTCTCTTGATCATACATGTATGTATATAGGCTATCTAAGACTTCTTAACTTGAACAAAGCAAGAACAACAACAATTGTACCAGAAGATAATATGAGCTCATTTCTTTTTTTACTATTATTTCGAGGATTCTTCTCAACTGGTTACTACCTGAACGATGAAAAATATGTGAATTACATTACATTAAAGATTTGAACATACTTTTCCACGATCACAAGGAGTAATTAATTGAACTAATTAAGAGTTACACACACACTGACTATTTATAGAATAATTAGACAATTAGGCTTGGAAACAAAAAACAGAGTTGCGTATATATATATATATATATATATATATAGAAACAAGGTTTGACTAGAAAGAGCATACCAAAAAAGTGGATTACGTAACTAAAGAAAATGTTTTATGGGTTTGATCACTGAAGTTGTGGTGGGTGTGTAATGTTGAAGAGCCTCAGACAAGGGCGAAACACAGCTATCGAGTAGTATTCAGTGGTTCCCCTAACTAACTTGACGATCAATTCACTTCTCGATAAATCCTGTAATCATCTCATTAGATTTGCTTATTATTAATACGAATTTGAGGATTCATTCTATGAGAAGAATGGTTGGTGGTTAAAGTGTCAGTTTGAAGTAGATCGTTGCCCCCTGTTCGCTTCTTCTTCGCCATACCTCATTCATTTCATGCTTAGTTGATTTATATTAAATTGTGTGAAGTGAATCAGTGTGAATTGTATTTCCTATTTTATTTTTGGTCTTCAGTTGGCTGAACCCCCATCTTCCTCTAGGAATTAAAGGAAATAATAATAATAATTTATGTTACACAATGTTGACAGTATGTATATAAGACATGTTGCTAAGTTAACCAAAAATTCCAGAAGATTATTGTGTTGGTGAATTAGTCATTTGGATACTTTTGTTCTAATGTATTTGAACAGAGTCTACCACCAAAATCATATCAGTCTATCCATTTGTGCCATCACTCTTTTCCTATCTATCTGAAAACCGACTGATTCCTCCTAGGAACGAAACTTAAGAATGAGAGATTCCACTCTGGCTAACACCATAATTGTTAGGTTGTAGTGTTCAGCACTTGGTTTCTCTTTTTTGTTGTTTCTCACTGGCGATGTGTTTTGCCTCACATTTTTACTCTATGTGGTGATCATTGATCAAGATATAATAGTACAGAAAGTTGATCATCATAGCGTGTGTGACTTTAATATATGTGTGTAAAATTTGGGCACTGCTATGGTGGTGGTAGTAAGTAATTCCCTTATTAGTTTGTTTATTAGATGGATGTATCACACAGTCAGTCAGTGAGTGAGTGAAATAGTATTAGAGTATTTACTGGATGAACTGGACTCTTAACGAACAGTATTTTTTTAATCGCCTTTCAAATGTTCTAATTTCTCTTCAGGTGTGTGTGTGTGTGCGTGTGTGTATGTGTTTGTGAAGAACCTCAAGCGGTTGTGCTCTGGTCTCTGCTTTTATATGCAGCACTAACGGTTGGTTATGAAAATAACCAACCAACAACAACAACAGCAACATCCAGCGCCAACGGGAGGGATTTGAAAGAGGTTACTTCATTCACTTACCTAGCTAGGGAGCATTGCCTCAACTACAGCAGGAGGAACGGACGAAGATGTCAAATCGAGAATCGGGAAGGCGAGAAGCACGTTCATCAACCTCAAAACCAATCTGGAAATCTTCGTCACTCAGCAACACTCAACAACAAAATTCGGATTTTCAATACAAACGTCAAGTCAGTCAGTTCTTCTATACGGATGGATCAGAAACTTGGCGGCGGGTCACAAAGAACATTTCCAACAGCTTGTTGCAGACCTTTATCAACAACTGTCTTCGTTCTGTACTCAAGATCAGATGGCCAGAAAGAACAAGAACCAACAAGAAACTCTGGGAACAAACAAACGAAACAAGAACCAATCGCTCAACAAATATGCAGGAGAAAGTGGAGATGGATTGGACACTCACTGGCTGAGGAGGCCGCTGCTGGTGACATAGCGCGTCAGGCCATCGCTCGAGTGGAACCCGAAAGGGAAGCGACGAGTGGGACGTCCAAGGGTGACATGGAGGAGATCATGTGAAGAGGAGTTGAAACAGTATGGACTAACATGGATGTAAGTGAAAAGTAAAGCAGAGGACAGAAGCAAGTGGAGGCGTGTAGTTGAAGCCCTATGTTCCACTAGGAACCCAAGGGAACAGTAATAATAATAATAACGGTCTTCCATCAACAAGTATGGAAGATCTGAAAATCTAAAGGTGGAACACATCACAGTGAATAAGAAACTTATCTTCATCCAACTGAATTTTAAAGGTGATAATAATATTGTAGGGACGATTAAGAGAACACTGAAAATGTCCAATGGAGGCCGACCAGCAAACTCTCATGTTAAGTCTAATTGTGTATATACAAATTTGCGTGTATCTGCGTGGGCAGTTATATTGGGAGATTTTCTGCACATGTACTAACAAGTTAATTGGTGGATGGTGACTAACAGTAGTAGAATCCAGGATGCTCGTTTCGTCCTCTTCTGGACTCGTCAGTCAACTGGATTTACCTGCATTCCCCAGTGAGTGAGTCAGTGATTATATGTTCCCACGACGGAGGCTTGAACCCAGTGACCATAGTTTCAAACGTTGAAGCATCTGCACAAGAACCCGGCCAACAAACATGTTAACCTGAGACCGAGGAGCACTTCGGTCGGTCCAATCAATCAATCAATGCAGGGGAAAATCTAAAATTCAATTAAATGTTCTCAGAAGTTTACGTCGCAGTGGAACAAATGGTTTGAAGAGTGGTGTTGTCAGACAGGTTGTTAATACGTGCGTGCCATGCAGTGGTGGACAGCATGAAATCCTTCAAGATTATTATTAGCAGAAAAAATACCACTCAACTCTCCCCTCAAATTTGCTG